TGTTCTGCTCTCCAGCGTCCATCTCCACAATGCCTTCCCCGTCCTGGTCTCCGATGTCCCATCCCGGCTCCCGTCAGCAACAGGCCGACCTTTGACGGCTGGGTCAAGACCAGCACGCCGGTCGGCTCCAGCCAGCTCTGGGGGCCGAGCGGGCGCCAGACCCCAGCTCTCGACCGGCAGTGCCCTCTGAGACCCAGCAAGCAAACATTTTATTTTTTTTTTAATTTTTTTTTTCAACGTTTATTTATTTTTGGGACAGAGAGAGAGCATGAATGGGGGAGGGGCAGAGAGAGAGGGAGACACAGAATCGGAAACAGGCTCCAGGCTCCGAGCCATCAGCCCAGAGCCTGACGCAGGGCTCGAACTCACGGACCGCGAGATCGTGACCTGGCTGAAGTCGGACGCTTAACCAACTGCGCCACCCAGGCGCCCCGCAAACATTTTAGACCCTGAGTGAATGAGATGCCAAAGGGCCAGAAAATACTTCCAAACTATGAAAAGCAACGTGTAGGCGAAGGGCAAGTGATTGAAATGTAAAGCACAGGCCTCATGTTCACGTCCTAGACGGTGCGGCCTGGACGTGACAGTCGGGCAGAGCTCCAGTGTTTGCGAGGACGCCAGTCCCAAGTGAGCTTGTCCTGAGCGCGCCCCAAGAATCCGAGGTGGATACCGTGTGACTCAAAAACAGCAGCCGAATAAAATGCTTCCAAGGCATCTCGAAGGGGCCAGGACTAAACATTTCCCCGGGCTGTCTATGGAAGTATTTGGGGCAGATGCCAAAACCCTCTGAGAATAATTTACGGAGAATGCACAAGTCCAGTGATGATTAACCCCACGGTGACAGAGGTCGCCTTGTTAAAAACGTGGAGCGGAGAGCCGACCGTAACCGGGGCCGTGGAAAAGCAGACCCCCGCCACCTCTGGAGGGCACGCTCACGACCGTGCATTGACTGAGGAAGTCCCAACTGGGTGCCAGGTCACAACGTCCCCCCAGGGGTAGAAATCAGACGCGTGGGGCCAGGTGAACACGTCCAGTGATACTGCAGTTTGGGGATGGACCACAGATGATTAAACGTCCCTACTGCAGAGAGTAAGCGTGAACCCTCACACCTGCTCCTTTGACGTTTCTAATTCGTAATTACCTGACGTTGGAGAACGCGGTGAAAACTCCTCACTTCCGGCGCGCTGGACCACCGCCCCCCGACGGCTGTGATTCAGGGATCTGCACAAACGCTCCCTGACTTTCCTAGCCCAGAACTCTGCCCGATTGTCAGAGGTGTGCAGTTGACGTAGAAAGGGGTCATCAAGGACAAAACCGCCTACTTAACACATGTGAGGAGAAGATCAACAAAACCAGAATCCAAAATAATAACCACATGGGCCCTAGGAAGGTTGACGTAGGCCTTCAAAAACCGTGTGCAGAAACTTTCCTTCTGTTTCACATTTTTCTCCTTTGGAACACCTGTAATTTTTGAGTAATAGCCAAAGTGTTAATTCGTTCACTGTCGACTGTTGGCTGAGGCCTCAAAGCACGAACGTGGTACGAAGCCTCGCTGCAGCGGAAGAAAAAGGTGCAGATAGAAATGTGCTAATTAAGCCTCCGAGAAAACCCAGCCCGCACCAGCGTGGAATTTGGTGTTACACCAATGTCTGCGTTTCCTTTGGGTCTCACTTGGTTCCAGTTCCTGTGGATCGTATTCGCAAGTGATGAGTGAAGACGAGACGTAATGGGAACAGAAGGCAAAGTAGGTTCTTCAGAGGAATTGAGCCGATGAGTCACACTGCGGGTGCGAGCCACCTCGGGCTCAAAGCTCGCACCTCTGACCGACCCCCAGTGCTCTAGCAGCAGGTCAACGTTCACCGAGAAGGATCTGGGAAGCAGTAGGGAATCGGGGGTGGGGTTCCCTCTACTTAATCCTTATCACCAGGAGCGTGTTTCAGTCAGAGTTCTGGGCTTGGTCAAAGGCGGCCTGCCCACAGGATGGGCTGAGGGAGGTCAGCGCTGGGAGTCAGACCGCGGATTGGTTCTCCACGTTTCTTTACAGCAGCGCTTTGGGTCCCTATCAGGGGCTGCTAGCTGCTGGGACCAGGTCTCAGGGCTCTGGTCAGGGGTTCACAGAACAAGGGAGACAGACCCAGGAATCCGGTGAGGTCCTCCAGGGAAACACCTGTTTCTACTCATTCCGGCACTGCTGACACCAGATGTATGGGTTTTCCATGCCAACAAATTCTTCACTTGTCAGTCGACGCCAGCTTGGAGTCGTATAAGTGACTTCAGTCTGGCTCTAACCACCCAGAGTTGGCACAGACCCCGAGGGCTCAGTCCCACAAGGTGTCCCCGCTTCTGGTGCCCCTCCCACAGCCCAGGGCCTCACCTGTGCATCCGACCAACCAGCTATAAATCAGGAGTTCCCAAGACCCCTTCTCTGGGTTCAGTAATGCGCTAGAACAGCTCACGGAACTCAGGAAACACTGAGATCTGTGTTTATTACAAAGGATATTTAAAAAATTTTTTTTTCAACGTTTATTTATTTTTGGGACAGAGAGAGACAGAGCATGAACAGGGGAGGGGCAGAGAGAGAGGAAGACACAGAATCGGAAACAGGCTCCAGGCTCTGAGCCATCAGCCCAGAGCCTGACGCGGGGCTCGAACTCAAGGATCGCGAGATCGTGACCTGGCTGAAGTCAGACGCTTAACCGACTGCGCCACCCAGGTGCCCCTACAAAGGATATTTTAAAGGACACAGATGAAGAGGTGCATAGGGTGAGGTCTGAAGGACCTTGGAATTTGGGGTGCGCCACCCTCCCGGCACATGGATGCATTCTTGCACATCAACCCACAAACTCTCCAAACCCTGTTGTCTAGGGTTTCTATGAAGTTTCCACTATTTGGACGTGCTCCATTAAATCACTGCGGTGGGTGATACGCCCCTCCTCCAGCCCTCTCCTCTCCCCTCCCCTCCCTGGAGGTCAGAGGTAAGGCTGGAAGTTCCCACCCTGTAGTCACGTGGTTGGCCCCGTGGTTGGCTTTCGTGGTGACCAGCCCCCATCCTCAACGGGCTTTCCAAGGGCCACCCCATTGACCTAAATTCTGTGTGTGGGGGTGGGGGGATCAAAGAGGCTTGTCGTGAGCAACAAAAGAGCTGCTGCTGGGACCACAACCGAATACTGTGACAAAAGATGATTCTGTTATTCTCACGACTTCGGAAATTGCAAGAGTTGGGGGGCTCTGACCAGGAGCCAGAGACAAAGACCGAAATGGATACTTCTCACCATATCATCATGTCACAGGTCCTCAGAAGAAAACTCCAAACGGGACTGAGGACAGGGTGGAGCCCCAGCCTGGGGCGACACAGATCTCCCTCCAAATCCTAGTTCTCCTCACAAACTCTCGGGCGACCGTGACCACCTTACCCCGTGTCCTTCAGCCTAAAAAGTAGCGGTCACAGTCGTAGGCCCTCGGTGTGCGCAGAGCCGGGCAGGAGAGCAGAGGAGAAATCCCAGAGTCTGACCGCCGCCCGCATTGCCTTGTATCACAAGTCCGGTGATGCTGCGGGACCAGCAGCGGGTTCTCCCCCAGAGTGTTGGCCTGGCCAGGCTTCCCCGGGCAGACACGGGAGGTGGGCCTGGGCCTCCGTCCTCCTGAGACATCTTTGCCCGAGGACAGCTCTCACCCCTCCTTTTCTCCCCACGTGAGCACAAGGACCAGGATGCAAAAACATCCGGCCACATCCAGGAGGGCCTCGTCTTCTGGGACCCCGGGACCCCGTGTGGGGGCTGCCCCCCAACCTCTCAGGCCCCGACGGTGAGGCTGGATGGGGAGCACCACAGTGACCACAGCAGCTCGGGGTGGCTCCCCATCCCAGCTCCCTCCCCCATCGGCCAGCAGCCACCAGCTCCCGCTGTACTGGGGTGGGCCCGCGGAGCCCGGGGTGCAGAAGCGGGAAGCCTGTGCCTCACAAACCGAGTGACACGGAACCCCCGTCCCCAACCTTGGGACAGGAGCTGGCTGGAGACAGCCCGGCCCACGCGGCCCCCGTGCCACCAGCCCCCTCCCTGGCCCACAGTCTCTTCCCCCGACTTTGCATCCTGGAGAAAACACAGCTCTTAGGGCCTTAGGGTTTTGGTTTCTCTGATTAATAGACTTATTTTTAGAGCAGCGTTAAGTTTACAGAAAAGTTGAATGGAAAGTACAGCCAGTTCCCTGCGCGCTCCCAGCCACCCCCCTGGACGGTTTCCCCTAACACTAAACTGATGTCAGTGCCATGCGTTTGTTGTAAGGGACAGACCAGCGCTGGCCCAGTGCCTCCGTTAGGCTCCCTCTGCCCTTGCACTCACGGCAGACATATAGTGACCCAGTGTCGGGCAAAAAAGTTTCGCAGCCCTGAATCCTCTCTGCTCGGCAGACTCGGGCCTCCCTCGCTCCCCCAGCTCTTGGGATTTCATGTGAGCAAGAGAGGAAAGAGCCAGGCCGGGTAGGAACAACCAGCCCAGCGGAACTGTTTATAAGCCGTCTCCAGGGGCCCCAGCGTTCGCTCGTGTGGACGCCAGTCTTTCTCTGGGTTTCATCCCGCTGGAAGCTGCCTCTTCAGTTCCTGGCTTTCTTTCCCTTCCCTGTAAACCCAGAGCTGCCTCCTCTCCTACTGCCCCTGTATGTCTGCTGCCTTCTGGAAGGCCGGCCTGCGCCAGCTTTAATGGGCATCTGAAGTGCGGCCGGAGGGCGCCCGGCTGGCTTAGTGGATAGAGCCTGTGGCCCTTGTGGTCTCTTGACCTCTGGGCAGAGTTCAAGCCCCACGGTGGGTGGTGGGCGTGGAGCCTACGGGGCCTCCAGCTTCCTCCCCCGGATTTCCAGGCGTCCCCACACCTGCGGCAGGAATATTCCAGCCTGCCTCACCCCTGCTCTGGGCAGCCCAGCCCCTCCCTCTGCTGCGTCCGAAACCATCAGAGGCCACGAAATCGGGGGTGTATTCTGATGCCCGTGTCTGCTCTGTCCCGGGACAGGTGCTGGCCTCGACGGGGTAGAGGAGATCAAGCGGAACCCCTTCTTCATGACCGTAGACTGGAATGTAAGTTGCGCACGGCGGTCCCCGCCTCTCACGACGACGACGGGGAGCGAGGGGGCGGGCACACCAGCCGGGTACACACCAGAGGTGAACGCGGCCATGTCACCTGGAGGAGGGTGACACCTCTCTCCGGAGCCTATGAACAGGCTGGCATTTTACAGGCACAGACCAGGGACCACCCGTCCCCGCAGCACCAGGCCCGAAATCCCTTTATCGCTTGGCCCTTTAGAGGCAGGTTCAGATGACCCTGCAGCCACTGCTACGCACTGAGGACAGAGTGGAGATCACCGTCCATCCGGCAAGGGGCTGCAGGAGCTCCTCAGGTCACTTGGTCACTGGGCCTCTGTCCCTGGGCCCCTGGGCCACTGTGGGTCTCCGGGCCGCTGGGCCGTGGGCAGTGGCCCACTGTGCAGGCCTCTTTGGTGCTGAACCACTGGCATCTCAGATTCTGTGTTGCTTTTCCAGTCTCTTTTCATGCCCAGGCCCCCACAGCTAGCGCTCTTACAGAGTTATTAAAGAAAAAATGTATCATCCAGACCGTTAAAGACAAACTCACGGCTGACACTTGTTAGCGACCTAAGGAAGACTTACCATCGTGGTGCATTTAGGGACCACTGGGCCGGGGTCTGCAGTCGGGAGAGAGCTGGGGCTCAGCCCGGCCGAGCTTGGGCCAGTGGGGTTCATAGCCAGGGGACGGGCCGGGTGCCGATGGAAAGCCACTGAGAGGAAACACCAGGGCTGAGGGGCTCTTGTGCTGGACGCCAGGCCGGGTGATGAGACAGACATCACCTGGTCGGGGGAGGAGACCCCGTCAGAAGTCAGCCTCTGGCTCCAGCTCCCCAAGCCAGGGCCACAACGCCGCGTGGAGCCAGACGCTGGCTCCGGGGCTCCGGAATCTCATTCCACCAGCCGCTCGGAGCCGTTTCCAGACCCTCAGCTCGGGGCTGGTTCATCTCAACAGCCGCCCTGTGCTTTGTGTGCATGGAAGACGTCCCTCCTCTGATGTCTGTTTCTTCGGTCCTTTCCTTTAGGTGAACACAGCTGTTACATTTGGAGATCTTAACAGAGTGTAAAAAAAGAGTTAATGTCCTCTCTAGCACAGGGCTATTATTACGCGTGTTTGCCCTTCCCTCTGTCTTCCTCGCGTCCCCACGGAGCATGGTGCCCCAGCCGCTTCCGGCCAGGAGTGGCTCGGCGGCCCCCAGCCCCCGGTGTTGCCCCTGATGGAACCCCTGCTCTCAGAGCTTCTGACCCTCCTCCCCTCTCCTCCTCTTTTGGAGAAAGTCAAGCTGGGAGAACGTGAGATTCTTTAATACCCACGTCTACGCTTCTGACTATGCAGCTTTTACGAGATCAAGTTTCTTTCCAACGGTGACACTGGAGAGAAGCATGTGAGATGCTGGCACACGTCACCTCCCCTCCGGGGACACAAGCCTGGCTCAAGGGCCAAACCGACAGCAGGTTGAGTTCAGAAAAATGGGAAGGGAAGCGGGACATCAGAGCCACTGCCTGCGCGTGAAATGTCTTTTTACTTAGCTTTCCGGAGATGCAGGCTCACACGGAGGTCCAGTCATCTCCAGCTCACGGGCACCTGAAGGTCCTTTTCAGCCGATTGTTTTCAAGTTCCGTACAGCACGGAGGCTCTGCTGTGTGGGGTGATGGGGTCTCAGGCCTCCGAGTGCCGGCACGGCACCACACACGAGAGCCTCAGAAGCTGAGCCCTGGGGACGTGCCCCCCTGGCACCCTGCGAGGACACGCTCTGGGGCCAAGGGGGGTTGCTCTGCTGTGTCCCGTCCCCTCCCACCCACGCAGCCCAGAGTAGAGCCACACACCCCCTTCTGTTGTCACTCACTGTTCCATCGACTCAGCCTGCTGTTGGGCATATTGGAGACACCTCCAGGACCTGGGGACAGAGCGGTGGCCAGGATGGGCAAGTCCTACACGCTGGGCTGGGAGAGAGAAGCAGTAAGCAAAGGGTGCGCCCTTGGTCCCAGAGAGAAAGCAGTGCTGTGAAAAGAACGAGCAGGGGAGCTGAGACCCCACCTGTCCCTCCCGCTCCCCTCACCCCCCTCTCTGCGCACCTGTCTGCCGCCCAGCACACCCGCCCCCGGGGGCCCCCTGTGTCTCAGTTATGTCCTCCTCATGTCTCCTCCTAAAAGCCAGTTTCTTGGGGGCACATGGGTGGCTCAGTCAGTTAAGCATCTGACTCTGGATCTCAGCTCAGGTCTTGATCTCAGGGTCATGAGTTCAAGCCCCACATTGGGCTCCGCGCAGGATGTGAAGACTACCAAAAAAAAAAAAAAAAAAAAAAAGCCAGCTTCTCGCTGAAGTCTCCCTGGGGGCCCTTCCAAACCTGCAGCTCCTCGCCCAGCGCCCCGACTCCCCTGCTCCTTTTCCTCCGGCTTATCACCTTCCAAAGCACTGGGTCACGGCCCTTATTTATGTCGATCGTCCTTGTCCGTCCCCTGCTGCTGGGTATACCCTCCCCGAGGTGAGGATTCGCTGTCAGTGTTGTTAGACGTGTCTCCCACACCTCTGAGATGCACCTGGTTCAGAGGACACACTTGGTAAATACTGAGCGAGAGAGGGAACGAGAGAGGCTCTCGGGGCAGAGGAACCCACTTCTCGCCCGCTCTCTGGGGCACCGCAGCCCCCCCCCCCACCGGCACAGCCGAGAACACAGAGGAGAAGGAGATTGCTGGGGCGTCGGCTGGGACGACCAGGAGGGACCGGGCACCATTCAGCACAGCTCTGCCCAGGAGGACCTGTCGGCAAGAACTACGGACGGACGCTCATCTCGGCCAAGGAGGGAGCCCCCCGAAGAGCAGGCCTGCGGAGGGGGAACCAAGAGAACTTCTTCACAGCACGACGGCCTTGAACCCCACACCAGTCGGCTCTGCATCCCAGGGGTCCGCGCCAGCTCTGAGCAGCGGCCCGGCCTGTGTCTGCAGCGTTAGGAAGGCGAGGGTCCCGCGGGAGACCAGCTCCAGTGCACCCAGCACCGCTGTGCCGGCCAGGGGACGGGGGCGGGGGTCCCTGCCCGGACACACATGGTCACTTGGAATCTTGCACCAGGAAGGTGGCAGTCTGCATTATTTCAAAGTAATCGGACTAAAACTGAGGTTGGGAAACCTCTCCTGTTGCTTTTGGCATTTGATTCCGTTGTGTCTCTGAGAGAGGTCCTTCAGATTCACGGGGACTGAGCATATCTACCCCCACTTCAGTATTTGCCCGCAGAAGACGAGGCAGGGACGGAGAGGGAGGGAAGGCTCTCATTCCCTCTCCAGCCCTGGATGAAAGCAGCCGGTGCGTGGTTAAGGGAGCTCTGAAGAGCCACTTCTGTGCAAGTTCACTTATTCCACAAGCAGTGCTGGGTGCCGGCCCGTGTCCCGGTGAGCAGGGTGTCCGTGGTCCAGCAGTTGTAAGACGCAGCTGTCCTCAAGTTGCTTGACATCTGACCGCTGCACGTAGACGAGAGATCCCCGTCGCCACTCTCCGCCCGTCCTCTCCTCCCTGCGCACCAGCGAGCCGCGGTGTCGCGAAGACCAGCCCCGGCCGTCGGTCACACACCGGGCACGCCGCAGACCCATCGGGAAAGCAGACGTGAAAGTGTCCGGCCTTGACGGGTGTCTGGACGTGTGCCTCCTGCCACAGCAGCCTGGACAACTCAGGGCCACGGCAGAGGAGCCGCTGCAAAAGCCGTTACCGCCAGGAGGCCTCCCTCTGCCCGGCAGGTGCTCAGGACGACAATGGGAAGCCATTTCCTCAACCGTCTGGTTTCTGCCCGGGTGTGCGAGCCCAGCGCCGGCCTCGGGACCCGACCCGGAAAATATAAACTTACTCATTTCGCTCTCTGCTTCCCTCTGTGACCCAAAGCTGCCAGCAGAAATTTTCGGGTGACCTGTTGGTGCGGAATAAGTCCGTTCCCAGTGGATGTGGGGTCACATCCCCCGGTTTGCCCTGCTCTGCCATTAACTCGGCTGCACAGCCGAGCAAATAAAACCGCCTGGGAGCAGATCTTCCCAAAAGAGGCTGGTTCAGCAGCCGAATGAAAACTTGCGGTTACAGCCCAAGGCCTCGGCAGGGGGGTCCGGGGGAGCCCCGCACATAGTCTGCATTTATTTGCCCCTGATGCTGCGGGAAAGTTCATCACCGCGGCCCACGGGACCCCCACCCCCAGCCCAGCCCGGGGGCCCCTCGCCGTGGGAAAGATGCTTGCCTCGACCACAGGCACCACGGACCGACCCCTGCTGACCAGCTTGCTGCTTCCTGGCCGGGGCTGGGACCTTCACTGTAGCCTTTCAGCACCCGTTATCGTGAGGAACTCACGCCTGTGTTCTTTTTATACTTCTGAACCCTTCCGAGGGTAGCAGGTGTTGTCATTCTGTGAGGTGGGAGGGACTCCTGCGGGAAACTGAGGCACAGGGCAGTGAGAAGACAGCCCGAGGTCAGCACCTGCGAGAGCCCCCCGACCTTGCCAGTCGTGCGTGCCAGCAGAAGCGGAGAAAGGACTTCTTGCCCCCAAGAGTGGATTTTAGGGGTTCGGGTCCCGGGAGCAGCGGGCTGCTGGCCAGTCTCAGTGCCTGTGTCAGAGTGTGAGGCAACTTCTGTCCGTCTGTTCCCACATTAAATACTGGGCTTCTTCGTTCAAGGAGCCCGACAGGACTCTGTTCAAGGAATGACCGCCCCTCGGTTCAGCAGTCTTGTAAATCCAGATACTTTGGTTGGAACCGCTTGCGGTGAGGGTAACCCATATAGACGGAGTCCCATCAGATCCCCCCTCCCTGGGTGCTCGGAGGCTGTTTGAATTCTGTTGCTCTGGCCAGGCTTACGGCAAGGGTAGCCCGTGTAGACAGAGTCCCATCAGATCCTCCCTCCGCTTCCCCGGGTGCTCGGAAGCCGTTGGAATTTTCTGTTACTCCGGCCAGGCTGCCACCACTCTGCGCCTCTGCATTATTTCTGCGTCGCTATTTCGGGAACGATCTCTAGCTGTGCCCTTTCCTACTGGAGAGTGTTAATTTTGAAATGCCTGGAGCCAAAACTGCCTACAGAAGCAGATGTTAGGTCCGTGACCCCAAGCTCGCCTCAGCCTCCTATTCCATTATCCAGTTAGCATTTTGCCTGTGCTCCCTCTGTTCTGCCCTCTGTCATCTGAAGGTCTTTTAGGTATAAATAGCCGTGCTGCACCTGCTCAGAGCTTCCTGGCACATCCTGGCTCGATGCGAAATCCGTTCCAATGTGGCTGTGACTTGTGTCAGCCTGAGATCCTGGGACGAGCCAGATGATTTGAAGTGATGCCTGGCGAATTGATCATGAGACCCCATTCTCTTTCCGGCAGTGTGGGATGGATCGTTCTGGATGCTCAGAGAGGGGAATCTAGGTCAGAATTCTAATGCCTGTCGTCAAGCTCAAAACCTGCACAAAATGCTGCTGCCATTTCGTTCTCGAATTAACCCTGTGTGCCACAGTTTACGCTGCAAAATGAGAAGCGAGATTACTTTTTCGCTAAAACCTCAAACCCACTCCTAGGTTTGCACACAGGGAAAGAAAAGCATGTGTAATAATAACACACACTAGCACGTTCCAGAAGTTTATCCAGCAACGGGAAGAAACTGACCGACTTTTACCACCGCAGCAAGCATAGGGGAGCCACGCACAGGGCGGAGGGCACCTGGCCACCCTGTCCAGCCCTCCGCTACCTGCTTGGAACCAGGATGAAACCACAGCACCCTCGGGGCACCGCAGGGTGGTGTTCCCGGCCGCCCTTGGACAGGCTGTGCTCATAGGCGTAACAAGAACAGGGACCGGTGTTCGGGGGGGCTGTGGAGTCTGCACGGGGATTCCCGCCCCACCGTGATGCCCCCACCGGCCGGCAAGCCTTCAGCGGACCCTCTCGCACGCCCTCCCCTCCTGTCAGCTAGGAATCCTTCGGGAAGCACGGGCTTACAGAGGAGGTTCAGAAACACGAGGAAAAGCAGACGTGCACGTGCATGAGTGAAGCCGGAGTTTTTACGTGCTGTAAACGCACTGTGATGGCTGGGCTCTATGCTGGGTTCAGAGGACATGCACCGGGCTGGGAAGGAGGGCACTGAGACTCTGCAGCAGGGGAAGCCAGCGGGTACCATGTCCTCTGCTAGGTTACAGGGGTCATCCTGATGAATTCCTTTTCCTTACGGTAAAGACCTGGAAAGTGGGAAGCTGTGCCTCCCCTAGAGGTCGGCCTCCCGGCCAGGACTGCTGTGCCATTCTCGGGGGGCTGTCTCAGTGGGAGACCAGGGTAGAACACGTGGCCCCGGGAGTCAGCTTGGTCACAGCAGGCACCTGTGCTTTCTCGGGTTTTCCTCCGTGGGAGGCGGGTTAACAACCAGAGTTGGGCAGGTTTCTGCACGGAGGGGAAGGGGCTGGGACTGTGCCAGTCACCTTGGCATCCCAGCCGGCTTCTCATCAAAGTGCGGTTCTGTGGCTGGTGGCCGGGTGGGAAGCGAGGCTGCGGGGTGTCCCAAGCAGGGCGTCACAGTCCCCACCACGGGGTGCGCACACAGGCACAGTCGTGGCCGCTGATGCCTCCGGGAGCTGCCCAATAACCATCAGGGAGCAGAAGCGCTTCGGCTCCAAAGTGCTGGGTTCGGGGGACTGTTTAATCCGCAGCCGTGAAGCTGGGGGCAGGCACTGGCTTCCAGCTTTTCCAGGGGACCCCGTGCTGGTGGAGCTGGGGTTAGAAGAGGAGCTGAAGGTCACCTTCAGCTCCAGGTGTAACGCCTCCCCTTTGGATTAAGTGACAGCTAGTTCTGTGTGCGTGTAAATAAATCCCCCTGTTAACGAAAGCAGGAGCCCCCGGCTCGCGGAGATTCCTCTCTCCCTCTCTTCCCCCACCCCCACCTCCCCAAGTAGCGAGAGAAGACACGGATGCCGAGGGAGAGGATGTGCGTTTTCCTGGAGCAGGACAGATACCGATTTAATCACCCAGCTCGAACATCGCAGGACAATCGCTGGTGCGAGGAGAGAGGGTCTGAGCCCCGCAGGGCTGTGCTGGGCCATCGGTCTTGGTGACGGCCGGCATTTTAATCAGGGTGCACAGCTCGCTTCTCCCTATTAGATTTCCTCTGACAAGTGCATACATCAGGGAAGTTTATTCCCATCCCGGAATGCGTCACCGCCGAAAGGAGCATCTTTCTATTTACGGAAAGAGTTCAAGGAGTAAATCAATCCCTAATGAAATCTATTCACCCAGGGCAGGAAACGACCAGCGAATGCAGGGCGGAGTTAACACATTCTTTCTCGCCGGGTGACTCCCGAGTGCACACCCTGAGCGCCGTCCTGTGCACGCCACGGCCCCTGCTGCTCCTTAAGCAGCGGAGCCCGGTGGCCATCGGTCAGTGCCAGCCTCCGGGGCCCCTTCACCCGGACACAGCTCCCGTTCTGCCAGCCGCACCCGCACTTCCCGCGGCCACAGGGGCCTCTGCAAGGGTGTGCTCCGGGCAGGGACCAGGACGTCGTGCCCTGCTGCCACCTGCTGGACCCTCCCCCGCCGTGAGCGCTGCTGTAACAGGAAGAGTCGGGATGCCTGACCCTCCTCCCGGCCGGCCCTTCGTCACTCCCGACCTTGCACAACTCAGCCCACCTGGCTTAGCCTGGGTTTCCTCACCTGTAAAACCAGGAGAGGAATCTGCTCTTCTGTGTTATTGAGAGACTTAGAGCAGATCTGGACGGGAGTCACTGTAGACGTTTTCCGAGCCATCAGGATCCCTGGCTTCAGAGCTGAGCTCCAGACTTACCGAAACAAAGGCACCGAGAAAGGGCCCGGGGGCACTCCTGTGATCAGGCGGAACTAGGGAAACTCAGAGGGCTGCAGCCAGACCCGCGTCCTGGTATCCAAGCCCCGCAGCCAAGGTGCCAACCCGCCAGGCACTCAGCACCCTGGCCAGAGCCACTACTGTGCGCCCAGAACTTCCACGACCTGAAATCCACCCCGGTGGCGCCCCCTCAGCCTCCACCAGGACTGGCAGCACCGAGGCCCCCACACCTCTGCAGCCCACAGCCCACCTGCCCGACCCACGGAGCCCAGCCTCGCCCCCCTGCCCACACTCCCTCTTCCCCATCTGCAGCTTCATCCGCCTCATTACCGGGGCCCGATTCCAAACTGTGTTGTCCCTTAAATTGAATCTCCCCAAAAGCATGAACTGCCGCCCTGCCTGAGAGCGTTGAGAACACCACAGTCAGGTTTGGAAGGCGTTTTCAAATTTCCACTAAGACCGGAGCACTGAGGGGCGTGGGTTTTCCGGGCATCCTGTCACAGCTCAGGCTCCGTGACGCAAGTTCGGGGCCTCCCGACGTGGCCATTCTCGAGAAGGGCTGACTCACCATCGAGTCAGGTGTCGTGCTGGGCCCGTCGGAGGGCACAGGCGTGTGTAGAAGGGGCACTGAAGCAGCTGCTCGAGCAGAGGGGTCCGGACCCCCAAATCGGGGACGCCAAAGCGGGTGCCCAGGGCACGTGCCCCAGCCCCCGCGCCCAGGCTCGGTTCCCTTCTAGCTGGGGGCTTTCACAGCGTCCCCCAGGGGTGGCCTCGGGGTCACCAGGGCAGAGAGGAGGGCACCCAGCAGCAGGTACTGCTGTCACCCAGGGTGGGGCAGCGTGGGGCCGTCCTGCCAGATTTTACTAGAAGAAAAAAATTCTACTGCCCCCCAAAAAGGTTTAAAACGTCACGTTGCCCTAAATGGAGAATACTTTGCACGTGTCCAGACCCTCCTGCCTTTGGTTATGACTTTTATAGAATACATTCCGTTGTGTTCTGCATCCTATGTAACGTACGTGCATATTTTACGCGTATTCGTACGTACGTCAGAGTATCCAGAGGTGCCATCCGCAGGTGGAAACTGGGGCCGTGTGCACGAAGTGTGTCCCCCGCCCCGGCGGCGGGCCGCGCTATTCCACGGCATTCTCTGGTGTTGTCGGTGGCTCCTCACGGCTCTGTCTTGCCTTCCCTGCAGAAGCTGTACCGGAAGGAGATCAAGCCGCCATTCAAGCCAGCGGTGGGCAGGCCCGAGGACACCTTCCACTTCGACCCCGAGTTCACAGCACGGACGCCCACAGGTGTGTCCCAGCAGCGACCCAGCGCTCTGTCTGGTCGTGGGTCCTCCCCCTCCCCCTGCCCCCACCCCCCCCCCCCGACCGGTGAGGGGGTAGCTATCCAGGAACCAGAGAGTCTCTCGCGCGGTGCTTTCTGGAGGGTAATTGTCGGTTCTGTCTGACTTGTTTCGTCTGCTCCGCCATCAAGGTTCAAGTGGTGGAACTCATTCTCGGTCGTCGCCCAGGTAGCATGTGGTTTGGGAATCGTCCAGGTGTCCTGTAGGTCCCCCCCCTCCCGCTGCCAGTTCAGGGACCACTTCTTTCAGGCAAGAAGGGAACGTCGAGACAGTGACAGTCTCCATTCAGCTAGAGGGTCTTGTGGGGAGAGGAGGGCCGAGGGTGAAGTCCACAGCTGTGGGAACTGTAGCCCTGACGCATGCCAGCAGCCGACACTGTCCGCAGAGCCTTACCAGCTACCGGGTCTCGGCACAGCAGACGGACACGGAGCCTTGGCTTTCGGGATCTGTCAACAATCCCTCTTAAGGGCTGTCGAACTCCGTCAGTCCAAAGTCATCATTTTGTGACATTCATGAGTCAGTATCAGGGGATTGTTTTTGAGATCTGGGAATGGTCTCAGTCTGCGTGGACCACGTGACACACAGCTGGCCTGGGCGCCCTAAACAACAGACATCTACTTTGGTTCCCGGTCGGGTCTCCTTTCCCGACTTGCAGACGGCCGCCTTCCCTCCATGTCCTCACGGGGCCTCACTCGGTGCTGCCTCTCCCTCTTCTTAGAAGGACAGCAGTGCCGTTGGGTCAGGTCCCACGGCCTCGTTGAACTTTACTTACCTCCCCCAAAGACCCCGTCTTCAAAGACAGGCACATAGAGGGTGAGGGCTTCAAACTCTGAATTTGGGGGGACGCAGTCCAGGCCATACAGTAATGGTATGTTGTGTAATGGTGTTATGTAAACTAAAGAGGCGAACCCCCCTCGTAGAGGGATGGGGGGACCACGTTCAGGGAGCTGGTGGATACGGGGCTACATACGGTGTATTATGGGGGTTCTTTGCTCGCTGACTTGAAATCCGAAATTTTGCCTGACTTTAAAGGTGGTTATGAAAGGCACAGCCAACTACCAAACACTAAGTGGAGAACTTGGAGCAGAGAATCCACTTTGTTCCCTTTGGTGTAGGCTCCTGGTGCTAGGAAGTAAATTCGCCCGGTGCTAGACTAGAGAAGCTTAATTAAAACCCAGAAGGCTCAGCCGAGTAGTTTTTAGAATCTGAAGATTATGTTCTGCGAGAAGCAGCGCCTCCCGAACGCTGCAGTGTTGCCCCGGCGGGCGCCGAGCTGTTCTAGACCCCGGGCCCCTGCACAGAATGACGGCTTCGAGGTCTGCTTTCCCTTAGAAACCTCCCAGGCTACCACCAGCTGCTCTGAAGGTCCCCACCGAGCACAACGGATCCAGCACCATTAAGCAGTCTTCGACCCCCAGGGTGCTTGGCATCCTTCCTTGGGGCTTTAGATTTAAGAATTTGAGTTCATCCCAGAGAATTCGCCAGAGCCCTGCAAATGGCGAGGGTGAAGCGTACCTCAGGAGGCTCCTTCACAGCCTCTGAGGAGTGTGTGTGCTTTGGGGGAGGTACGGCCCTATTAACTTGGACAGATGCACTTGCATTAGTGAGTGGAGAATTCGTAGATCGCAGAAGCAGTGTCTCTGAATGAAGGAAGGGGCGCGGAGGCCATCAGCTGAAGTCCAGGCGGGTCCTTATGAAGGTTGCCTCGGCCGGCATTTGGCTGGTGTGGCTGCCTTCCCCACGTGGGAGGTGGCATAAATAGAACGTAACAGGCTTTAAGATCATCGAGGGGCGGGGCGCCTGGGTGGCGCAGTCGGTTAAGCGTCCGACTTCAGCCAGGTCACGATCTCGCGGTCCGTGAGTTCGAGCCCCGCGTCGGGCTCTGGGCTGATGGCTCAGAGCCTGGAGCCTGTTTCTGATTCTGTGTCTCCCTCTCTCTCTGCCCCTCGCCCGTTCATGCTCTGTCTCTCTCTGTCCCAAAAATAAATAAACGTTGGAAAAAAAAAAAATTTAAAAAAAAAAAAAAAAGATCATCGAGGGGATGCTGATTTTCGGCACAGTGCTTAAAAAGCAAGCACGAGAGTTGGATAAGACAGAGTTTTCAAGTAACTGATTGAAACTGAGGACTTGGAAACTTTGATGATCCCATGACTCGTTTCTGACTACTTTGTCTGATGGGTTTTCAGATCTTAGCCCGGCATCTCCCACCAGCCAGCAGCCTCCAGTGGCCAAAGGAGATATAAACTAGCTTTAGTATTGGCTTAAGTTTAGGGGAAAAGATGCTGTAGGCCTTTCAGAGGACATTCCCACTGCGCATCCAGAAACCTTACGTACAGGATGTGGATTATGCACTGTTTCAGAATCACATGGGTATAGCTGCCCTTTAACACAGCCATGCTCTCGGCTCGTGTGCTTAGAAAATCCTACCCTCTTATTAATATACACACATAGAGAGAATGACTTTTCCGTCTCTCAACACTTCATTTAGTCCCTCGCACAAAGGCCAACTGTGTGATGTCATTAAATTAAGTATAAGTGACTGGGGAACTCCAGCTAGGAAGCTCCCCCTGGAAGGTGGAATTCTCTCGTTGTTACCTGCAGACTCACCTGGCGTCCCCCCCAGCGCCAACGCTCATCATCTGTTCAGAGGATTCAGTTTCGTGGCCTCGAGTCTGGTCCAGGAGCCCTCGCCGCAAGATCTGCACAAAGCCACGGTCCACCCCATCGTGCAGGTAACCCCGCACCGCCCGACTCCACGGTCTCTGGCAGGTGTGGGTGGTGAGGGTCACACGTGGGCGGAAAGCCGGCCTGGGAGCGGGGGTGGGGGCGGGGGCGGCTGGTGCCTGGAGCGCCTTCTGCCATCAGCTCCTTTCCCGGCCTCCTGGGGGTCACTGAGTCTCATGGTGACCCGAGCCGTGGCTGTTACCCCTGTTCCACATTCATCCTAACGAAGGGTAAAGAGTTCTGATGAGACTGTCACCGTGGCGTGTCTACAGCCAGAGACCCCACACAAGTCAGACGGGGCGTGCTCACGGTGTGCAGCGGGGCCAGTACCCCGAGAGAGCGATTTGGTCTGTGGCTACAAACCGACTTTTTGGGAGGTCGATGCAGAGGACGTTTATTTTATAAGGCTCTTCCCCCCCAGTTAGTGTGACCAGATGCAGAGAATTCTAAGAAGGAATGGCGATCACGTTTTATTTACGGACCGGGTCAGGGAAAATTGGGCGGCATTAGATCTCCACATCGCCTCTCCAGAGCCTTTTGGGAAACCGCGGTGTGTCTGACGTGGGCGCTTGATGTGACAGGATAGACCGTAGCTGGCGGCTTCTCGACCGTGCTCTGAGTGGGGATTCGTGCCTACGGGCCATGCCTGGGACATCACGGGGTCGGATTTACAGGGAGATGACACAGCCAGGCACCGCTCTAGACCCCAGTGTCACAACCACACACACAGCTTCTGCAGGTCCCCTGCCCCACTGTCTCAGGCTCTCAGGTCTTCAGGGGGATGGGCCCAGGCAGCGGATACCGGGTACTGTGGTCTGAGAATGAAGTTCACAGCCGGAGAGGTCAGGGGAGTCGGGAGGTAGGTCGAGAGCCCTTGCTGACCAGCAGCATGACTCCACGAACCCCTGGGCTCAGTGACCTCAGTGCACCGTCTGGAACCCCCCTTCCTGCCCGTGTCCCGTGTGCCTGTGGTCGTGCCCTTGCACGAGAGAGCCCTGACGGCCGTCTCCGCCCTTGGTCTCTCTCCGCAGCAGTTACACGGGAACAACGTACACTTCACCGACGGCTACGAGATCAAGGAGGACATCGGGGTGGGCTCCTACTCCGTGTGCAAGCGATGTGTGCATAAAGCGACGGAGGCAGAGTACGCCGTGAAGGTAAGACTGCGCGCGGGCGTGGGCAGTGCCGCATGCGGTCGCCGCGCACAACTGCACTGCTCCAGCGAGCCCTGACCGTGGCAGGCCCTGCTGAGCCGGCCACCTCCCTCCCCGCTCACCGTCTCCCCAGGTCTCCTGTGACGGAGCTCAGTCTGCTTTGGTATGAGGTCATCCGTTCAAAAATTATTTTGCAGATCATGAGTATTTTCAGCTTTATCCCACATCCGAGTGCCGACCACCATTAGTAGCTTTGTATAAGGGCACTCTGGAATAAAAGCTTTGGGTGCCCAGTATTCTGGAAAATACAGTTGGGGGACAGGCGCAGTGTTTGATGGGAGAGGGGGAAGGAAGGAGGAAGCCACGGTCACCAAAAACTACCTCAAAGAAACGAATAGAGGCATAAACCGGTTAAACCTGTGAAAACCTAAGCAGAGAGCTGGCCATTTTACTCTCCACCATCCGGAAAAGTCCGTAGTAAGGATTATCTGTAATCATCTAGAATCCCGTCTCTACATAGTACCTTTAGCCTCTGTAATTGTTGCTACATTTGATAGTTCATCTGGAAATCCCAAAGACCAGTTTCTTCAGTTTTCTGGTTGATAAAATATGGACTAAAGCTAAAGCTGCCCGCTAAAAGCACGACCTAACTTTCGTAAAAAGCGTAAATGGCACATTCTATCCACAAGGGCGGGAGAGAGGCTCTAAGTCCACCGCTTTCCCGCTGAACTGACCGCCGGGTCCGGCCTGTGGCGTCGTCGTGGCCGAACCCAGTGTTGTCTGCAGCACGTGGCCCTGCCCCTGCCCACCCCCCAACACTTGGAGGAGCGTGGAACCTTCCAGCAGGCAGCAGGGTAGAAGGAGCAATCCCGTCCATTGTGATTTTCCCGGCCTCTGAAGAAGTTGTCCAAAATGATGACTCAGGCAGAGGAGCTGTTCTGCGCGACTCCTCACCCAGGCCCCACACTGTGTAGTGAACACAGGTTTTGCTAAAAGGGAGACCCCCAAGAATAGCATGCACACCCACCCAGTGTTTCCTGCACTGAAAAAAAATGCCCAACTCTTTCCGGAAAAGACACCAGCCAAAAAAACCTAGACCAAAGACCGTAGGTCTAGTTTGGGTTGGCAAATGGTGGCTTGGGGACGCGTGTATATTGAATTCCTCTAATAAGAAAGAACATTTGAAATACGGAGGAATGGTCTGTGGGCTCCATGGACATGCTGTCCGTGTTCAGCCTGCCTACTTCTAGAGCACTGCGCCAGGAGCAGAGGGGAGGCACGCAAAAGGCTCCCGGAGCAGAGGGGAGGCGTGCAGAGCGCTGCCAGCTGTCCAGCCGTCCGCAGGGGGTGTGCACGGGCCCCCAGGTGGTGTCACAAGCAGTCTTCCAGGAGTTTCTAGGACTTGGGTTGCTGAGGAGTTTCGCGTTTCCTCCTCCTTGGGGGAGCTCATGGGAGCACCTGCGAGGCCGCCCCTGGTTCCCCAGGCAGTGCTGTTCCTGGAGCCCGATGTGGGTGTGCACCTGCCCTCTGCGTCTCGCTCGTGTTTCACGACGGAGGCTTCACAAGCATACAGGGGCTTTGGAGGATCTTTTCTGTCATTCGCACAGAATATCTTTCGGCAGTTTGTCTGGTGACCAGCAGCCATCCTAGAAACAATCGCAGCTTCCAGCGAGCGAGGAAAAACACATCTATTGTCCAGCCGGCTCAGTGACCACGATGCCCTTCTAGAAAACAGCCAGCCTCTGTGCAGTTGATCAGCTGCGTTTTGTGCCTCTGGAAATAAATCTCCCATTGACAGAGGCAGTTGTGTGTTTCCCCGTACTGTCCCCATATCCAGCTCTCTTATAAAAACACCATGTGAATTCGGCTTTGTTCCGTGGCTTTAGCTCGGACCTTGACGCTCTTGTTGAGGCCACGCTGTGCTGGGAATTTCTGAGGCATCTCACCCCAGGGCCCAGAAGCCAGGCGCGTGGCTGCAGCTGGGTGCCACGGGAAGTCAAGCCTTCCTGTTTCTTTTTTGCACGCCTTGAAGTTCCCTGGACAGACAGACCTGGTGGACCTGGCAGGGATCCCCCGCCCACCCCCGATCCTTGCTGAGACCACAGTGGGTCGTCGTTTATTATCTAGAAGGTATTTAAATTCACCAAGCGCAGGAGGGAGCGCCCGGGACCCAGAGCTGTGTAGGCTGCTGGTTGGAATGACCATTGTCCGTTCACTGGCGTTGGCTTGGATTTCCTTCAAGGGCAACAGGACCGGCAGGAGTTTCAAGGCAAAGAGCTCGGTTTTGAGGATGGGCCCATTTGTTAGCAGAACGGTTTAACGTCCTACAGATCGCTACCCTGCCCTTTGTCAGCATTTTCCAGGTAGAGCGGAGCTGAACTACTCTTTGACCTTTTTCTGCATCAGTTGCCTGGCTGACACATGGCAGAACCGAGAACGTGGCACTTAATCGCCGGGCGTGTGAGCTGGACCTCGGGTCAATAAACGCCCTCCGGGACTCAGCTGCTGGAGCTGCGCCCACCCTCCCGGCTAGCTCGCGAAGTGTGGGGACCCAGCCATCCACATTCACGCATGGATGGAAAAGGGTGTCTGTTTTATTTTGAGAAACCGTCTAGTCCGAGCCAGGGGGCCTCCTTGTCCCCTCATCCACCTCCACGGGCGATTCGGAAGCCTCCCCCGAGTCAAGAGCAGAAAAGTGCACACAGGGACCTGGATGAACAGTAGGACGGTGACCGGAGTGCCGGGGCTCCTGTGCCCAGTCATCATCGGTCTGGCTGGCTTTGCCCCCCTCCAGGGACACTGGCCATGTCTGAGACATTCTGCTTGTCACAGCTGGCGTGGGAGTCGCCGCTGGGGTCTAGTGGACAACGGTCAGGGATGAAGCTTGACATCCGGCCCAGGACGGCTCCCTCCCGCTGTCCTCAACGAAGAATTACCCAGCCCATAATAACAGCGGTTCTTAAGAGGAGAGCTGCAGCCTAAGGCACCCTTCGGGGACGGAGGACGGACGGAAATCTCACAGTAGGCAGCACGCGCACACAGTGGGCACTCTGTAAGCGTTGGTACAGACTCTGAATCCCTCAGCTTGGTCCCTGTCTTCAGATGAAGCAAACGAGGCTGGACTGACCAGGGTCTTTCCCCGGGAGAGCCCGGCCTCAGGCGGTGAGGCGGGTGCTGCCTCCTTGTCCTCGCGGACCCCACCTCGGGCCGACTCGGCGTGGGGTGTCCCTCCGGTGCGCCCACCCAGTGCTGGGGAGCTGGGTGGGAAAGCCGTTATCTCCTCCCTCCGTCAGGCTCAGTACGGTTGACAGATGCGTCCACTCTTACACCCCCGGCTGTTTCCGAGGGCAGAGCAGCCCAGCCATCCGGGCGCCACCGAAGTTCGCCTTTGCTCTCCTCGTCGGCCCCAGAAGGCAGGGGGCCGGAGGGAATTGTGGGGGACTTTGACAACCTGACAGAACAGCCCAGGCGCCAAGTTGTTTAAGGCGAGAGCGGGACGGCTTACGGAGCGCAGAAGGGAGCTGCGGCGGAGCAGGACTTGAACGGGGGAGGTTTGCGGAGCGGGAAGCATCTCTAGTCTTCTCTCGTTCCGGCTACGTGTCCCTTTCCACGAAGCCACTCCTGAAGTGGCTCAACGGCAAACAGCCCAGGGCGCCAGCTTGTGTCAAAGGAAGGGCTCCCGAGGAGCCTTGTGTTGGGGGGGGATTCGCTGTGGAAAAGCTGCCTCGTGCCCCCAGGTGTCTCAGCCTCTCATAGGCCTCCGCAGGTGCGCCTTGAGACCGTTCCGGAAGGTGTCTGCGAGCGACTCGGTGGGTGCCGACTGCGGGGTGCGGAACTGACGCCCACCCCCGAGGTACCACTTCTGCCGCTTAGATCCTCGGTTTCGAGACACGAGCATCAGTAAACGTCTAAGCAGCAAACCCAACACCTGAAGCTCAGGAGACGGGGAGCGGCAGGCGTTAGACAGAATCCAGACCTGTCGCGACGCGTTGTGCCCTCTTGTGGCCACAGGGACGATGACCGTGAACAGCACTCGCTACCCGCCAGCCCGGAAACGCGCACGTGAGCTCACGTCACCTTCACGACGCGGTGCTATGATCACCCTCAGCGTCCCCTTGGGGACACACAGACCGAACACCCAGCTCGTAGATGGGGGAGCCGCCCTCCCTGCAGGGGGTGCATGCCCTTGACCTCCGCGGGGCACTGCCTCTCTGCTCCGAGGGGGGACCGTGGTACCCCCATCCAGCTCACCCCCTTGCGTGTTGCGACACCCGGGTCCTGAGAGAGCGAGACGGCCACGCCGAGCGGGTGGTTCCGCGGCCTCCACCCCACTGCCCCGGAGCCCAAACCCCGCAGCCGCCGGCGAGGCCCCGTCGCCTGTCCCCCCTCCGGCACCTCCCCAGCTGGACTCAACTCCCCACGCTCTTCCCAGGACACGGGAGGCTCCCGCCTGGGGAACGCGTTTGCCTTCCCGGGGCTGGAACTTTCCTCCCCGAGACCCGGGTGCCGGCCACCTCGTGTCCACAGGCCCCTGCTCTCAGCCGGGGTCTCCCTGCCCCCCGCCCCGGCTCCTGTGCCGTCACTCCGTGCTCCGTGGCCCGCAGTGCCTCCTCTCGTGATGCTTCACACCCGACAGACTTCGTGTCTCCTCTCCTGTCCGTCTTCCCACCCCCGTTGTGACCGTGGGTGTCAGGGACAAGTGTTACGTCCAAGTAGCATCAGGAGCTTTTCCTCACATCCCACGTCACTTCCAGCCTTTCCTGGGCTTTTTCACTGTCAGTGTTGACAGGACAGGTGTGGACTGGAGCGTTTCTCGTCTGGGAACACGTCGCGTTCTGCACGGATCCCCTCGTTCGGCCAGCCGACGCCGTCCGTTCCTTTGCACAGTTCTTTTGTTAGCGCTTTTCCTACGGCAGAGACAGTGATAGGTCCTGGGCGGGAGCACGGACCTGTTCTCAGGGAACCCACAAGCCAGCCGCCGAGGCGTCTTAGGGATCGCAGGGCCAGAAGCTGCCGCCAACAGCCCGCGTAACTGGGGAGTCTGAAGCTGGATGCGCTTCGGACGTCAGCCCTGGCCGCGGGCCATGGTATCTGCAGACGTACAAGCGGGTCCCCGCGGCTGAAAGGCGCCTGCGGGCCGAGGCACGTTGGGGAGCCGTGGCCAGCTCCTCCTGGGGCAGCCCCCGCGTCAGACACGGCCATGCCTTCTTTTCGGTAGCGCGTTTGCGTTGTTCGAAGTCACATAGTTTGTTGTAGCGACAGACTCGGGTAAAGATGCAGGAGGGTCCTTGGGGCGCCTGGGTGGCTCGGTCGGTTAAGCGGCCGACTTCAGCTCAGGTCATGATCTCACGGTCCGTGAGTTCGAGCCCCACGTCGGGCTCTGTGCTGACAGCTCGGAGCCTGGAGCCTGTTTCAGATTCTGTGTCTCCCTCTCTCTCTGCCCCTCCCCTGTTCGTGCTCTGTCTCTCTCTGTCTCAAAAATAAATAAACGTTAAAAAAAAAAATTAAAAAAAAAAAAAAAAGATGCAGGAGGGTCCTTACGAGCGTGTGAGTCCGTGTCGCCCAGTTCTTTCCGGGAGTCGCTGGGCCCGTCCACGCACACGGGCAGCTGGGCCCGCGCTCCCTGCGCCCAGTCCGCTCTGCGTCCACGGCAGACCGTTTACGGTAGCGTTAGCGTGTCTGGGCTCGTTTCCGTATGTGTATGCCGTGTGCCAACCAGAAACACAGCAGAATTAAGACAGATGTTTGACATGAACAGAGCTTAGTTTTAGAAGGAACACTGGCGTGGAAACTTTTGTTGTTTTCCAGCTGGAAAACTCAGAGTTCTTTCACTGTGTGAGCAAACTAATTTGCCTGAGTGAATGGTACGAGAGAAGTCGTCCGCTAAATCTTACAAACGATCACACGTTCTCCTACCCCTGTTCCACATAGGGCAGTGATCCTTGGGACAAGTCAGGGAAATACCCCACCTCGAGGGGCTGTTCAGGCCTGTGAGCCCCCCACCGCATGCTCATCATAAAGCCCTTTTCCCCGCAGGAGTCAGTGTCCCAGGAGGGCTGCTTGCGGAGGGAGCCGGGGAACGGGAAGGTGGAGATGTGCAGAGATGGAAAGGAAGAGGGAAACCATGCTGATCACCACGAGGCCTTAGGCCTCTCTTCGGTAGCCAGAAATAAAAATGCACACAGGGGGAGCCTGGCTGGCTCAGTTGGGACGTGAGGGTCTCGATCTTGGGGTCGTGAGTTCAAGAGCCATGAGTAGAAAGAAAGGAGGAGAGAAAGAGAGAGACAAAGGAAAGAAAGAAAGAAAGAAAGAAAGAAAGAAAGAAGAAAAGAAAAGGAGGAAAGAGAAGGAAAGAAAGAGAAAGGGGGAAGGAAGGAAAAGGAAGAAGGAAGGAAGGAAGGAAGGCAGGAGGAAGGCAGGCAGGCAATGCTCTTGGTTGGTACCTGTGAGCTCCGCCTGCGGAGGGAGCCCTCCCGTGCCCGGCACTGCCTGGCGCACTGACTTGGCCCCGCAAGTGCCCAGTTGGCTAGAGAGCCGCACCGCGGACGGCTCGCTCACCGGCCGGCGTGGGTGGCCGGCCCCCCGGGCAGTGCCCCGCTTGCTGTCTGCGGCCGCGGCTGGACGAGAAGGAGACCGGGTGGGCGTCCCGACGCCTCCTCCATGTTGCGTCAGGATTACCTGAGCATCAGCTTGGGAGGGAGGAGGCCTGGCTCGCCAGCACGTATGCGGAGAGTCCCTTCTTCCGTTGCCTCGGGAAGATTACAAAGCAGTATATTCTCAGAATGAGGAACTTGAGCCACCAGCACTTTCTTGGACCAGAAGCGAGTCTAACGATGCCAGTCCCAAGAAACCAATCCCGCAGGGAGGAGATTCATTCCTAGACGTGTCTAAACAGTGTGCTCGAACCTCTTTCTGGGCCCTGCCTTCCCCCAGCACAGACCGCAGCTCGCGCTCGGGGACCAGTTGTCGGGCCTCACGGCTAAGCATCTCTGTGAAGACAAAAAGATTTGTGGCTAAAAGCAGCCAGGACTTGCTGACAAGGGTTAGGATCGACACACGGGGCCAGCCCGGAGCCTGCAGCCGGGGGGACGCGGGCCAGCCCTGCCCAGGTCGGGGAGATGGTGGAGAGCCAGGAGGGCGGCCGTCGGGTCCTGCGCCTGCCACTGCTGGGCCCGGCTTCCCCTCCGGGCTGGGCGCCCACCTCCCCTGCGCACCCACCTCCCCACCTCCCTGCCTTGCCTTCTGGCTTCAGGTCGGCTCCTCCGCGGGAGATGCCACAGGACTGAGGAAGGTAAAGGCCCCAGCTCCTGTCGGATGACGGCCCCCACAGCCACCCCCTCTGGCCCTGTAGCTGCTGGCTGTCCCCCACCCCCGGGCCACGGGCAGGAGAGAAAAGGTTTCCCACATCCCACGCCATCATGAGAGTGATCAAACAGATCTATGCTAAGAATACATTTTTTCATTATGAAATCTTCTTTGAAAAGAGATGCATCAGCCACTAATTTTTCAAAAATCCAGTAATGTATTTCAACCGTCTCCGATTTCAAAGAGAAGGTCACAGACCAGAGAGACCGTACGCCCCTGTGGGCCGTTGGAGCAGAAGGGGTGCCAGGGCCCGGCCAGCTCACGTCCCACCAAGCCGTGTATTAAGGACCCCCACCCCTGCCGAATGAGCCTTCACAAAGGCTCTCCCTTGGGACGATGCATTAGCTTCTTTCCATCACAGAAGTAATCCTGGGGTCCGAGCTAGAACTCCAGTGGAATTAAATGTAGCAAGACGAGAAAAATGTGTCAAGGGAGGGAGCTTAACTTTTTGTTTGTGTGACAACGCGTGTCACGGGGCTCACAGTCCTGGGGCACCAGGGTCCTCGGAGCTTGGCTGTGGGCTTGAGAGCCAAGATGCAGGGGTGCCTGGGTGGCTCAGTCGGTTAGGCATCTGACTCTCGATTTCGGCTCAGGTCATGATCCCAGGGTCGTGGGATCGAGCCCCACATCGGGCTCTGTGCTGAGAGTGGGGCCTGCTTGGGATTCTCTGTCTCTTTCCCTCTCTCTCTGTACCTCTTCCCCACTCAGACACACTTGTATATTCTCTCTCTCTCTCTCTCTCTCTCTCTCTCTCAAATAAAAAAAATAGGGGCACTACTCATAACACCTCGTCCTGTCGTCGGAGGCCATCTGTTTTCACGGGTGGAAGGATTTTATCTGCTAGCCCGCAGCGTGGGCTACCGGTGCTGGGTTGCAGAGGTGGGGGACGTTTGCGTGTCTGAGCCACAGCGGCCGATTCAGTGTGCACGCCAGCCCCGTGCCCCCTGGGGAGAGGCATGCACTTGGCCACACTTTGTTGCCAGTGCGTAGCCGCAGAGTAAGGCTAAGAGACGCCTGGCGGCAGCTGGGGGCTCATTTTGGAGGAGTGACTAGCACAGGCCACCCACCCGGAGCCCGCCATCTAGTGGAGAAGCACCTTCCGTTATGTGGTGCCTGAGTGAGCTCCCAGCCCACCCCTCTCCACGCCCCCTGCAGTAGCTTAGCATTCGTGTCTGCGTTTTGTAAGTGTCGCCCTGGTGCTCGTCGGCAGGGAGGATTGCCACGAACATCCAGGCAACTGTAAGGTGTCCTGTGGGCGTGAGCTGGAGGCGAAGGGAAGGCAGAAAGGGTCCGAGCCAGCACACGCTGCACGGGAGCCTCACGTCAGGTGCTCTGCTCATTCCAGATCATCGATAAGAGTAAAAGAGACCCCTCGGAAGAGATCGAGATTCTCCTGAGATACGGACAGCATCCGAACATCATCACGCTCAAAGACGTGAGTGAGCTTCACACGGCTGCCGTGTCGCGTGTCGGCGTGTTTCTCTGGGGGTGGCTTTCTCCGCGGTCCAGCGACTGTTCCTGCCCCCACAGTGTGTGCCAGCCTCTGCCGCCTGCACCTCCAGGTCCCTCGGCACCTGTGAGCCCGAGTGCCCGGGACAGCGGCCCCCTCCCAAATCAGAGAGAGTGCCATGTAAAGGGCAGGATAGCTGGTGCAGACTCTGGGCCGCTCCTGAACGTAGCACAAACGAGAGCATGGAGTGGACGAGACGGGGCTGGGTCAGATCCGAGACCCCGGATCCGGAGCTCTGGCCCTGGGGCTCCTCCCAGCGTCCTCCACCCCTGCTGGCCTCGGAGAGGGAAGGGAGCAGGGGTCCTCCCCACTGGAAGGACACCACAGAGCCCGGGGCTGCAGGGGTGGGGCCGGAGGGGAGAGGGAGCTGTCACCCGGCCACCTGCACCCTCACACTCCCGAGTGATTCCACTGTCCCCAACCCCAAACCTTAAGATTTTGAGGCCACTTGGAGCTCCCTCCAGGCCCCGTCGGCTCCTGGAGCAGGAGGACTGCAAAATGCCGACCAGATTCTGAGGCAAATATGAAACAGGCACCTGTGTTGTTGACAAGAGTAGAGTAAACGCCGGCTTTGTCCCTCTGGGTCCCCGTCACCGGGTCCCCGTCGCCTTCACTGCACCTTTCGGGGCTCTCTGCATTTCAGTTTTTATTTTATATGTTAAGATCCACAAGCGCAAAGCAGCTAATGTGAAAACCCCCTAAGGTTTCCAAGCCACTTCCACCCTGTTGGGGTAAGAGGTCCCCAGCTGGTGATACCTTCATAAGCACATTCTCCAAAGTAGAGCATGTTCTGGGTTCATAAACTGGAAACAAATACACCCACATTACCTTTACAGCTTGTATTGAGCTCAGAGTCAGGCAAATCGTTTCAGCCATTTGTTCTGGAAACTCGCTGATCTGTGAGCTCACAAGTGCTCGTTTGTGGGGGATCTGCCCCGTTTCCACGAGGCTCTTCTCAATGCCCGGGCACGCCTGTAGGCAGGCTGGTTGTGTCCACACAGGCGTGTCACGAAAAGAGCAAGGGCGGAGGAGTTTTTGGCTGTTGTGGGTTTTTTTTTTTTTTTGATGTTATTTACCTACTTTGAGAAGGAGAGAGAGAACGAGTAGGGGAGGGGCGGAGAGAGCCAGAGAGAGAATCCGTGCTGTCGGCGCAGAGCCCGATGCGGGGCTCAAACTCACGAACCGTGAGATCACGGCCTGAGCTGAAATCCAGAGTCCGACGTTTCACCGACTGGGCCAGCCAGGCAGCCCTCGGCCGTGAGGGCTTCCTGAGCGTGAAGGTGGTTTGACGAAGCTCTCCTTTTCCGTGGCTTTTCGGCCATAAAAGTGCGGCTGCCATGCGGTGGGTTCTCTGTGCCTCCCCGCCCCTCCCGTTCTGGATTCTGGCGTCTGGCTGCGTCTTGTCTACGGTGCAGCGGGACAGACGGCCCCTGGGGGCTGCTTGGACATGACCCAGACCTGCTGGGCCAGACCCTGCCTGCTGACGACAACCCTCCCTCCACCCCAAGTGGTGTGCCCAGTAAAGTCTGCAGAGCTCAGCCCCGGAGACCCACAGCAGCACGGTGCTGTCCCCTAATTCCCCAGCAGAGAGGGGAGCGAGACCCCCACAATTCATTTCCACTCAAACCTCGCCCTTGCAAGCTCTTGGCCGCGCTGACTCATTCCCTGCTTTGCGGCAGATTATTAAAGTCGGCTTTTCCTAAGAACCGCATCGGGTGTGACTGGAATGGCCATTGGCTCATTTTCACCAAAAGCCTTCTTTTGACACCCGGCGGGGGGGGGGGGGGGGGGGGGGGGGCCGGGCACTGACCCCCCCCCCCGCGCCCCCGCTTCCCCCCCCCCCAGGGCGGCCCTTCCCCCCACGGCAGGCTGGCTGGCGAGGGGGCGGGGCGGCCGTGGGCCCTGCGTGGGCCCTGAGGTCCGTGCGTCCCTGTCTCCGCCTCCCAGGTCTACGACGACGGCAAGTTCGTGTACCTGGTGACGGAGCTGATGCGTGGCGGGGAGCTCCTGGACCGCATCCTGCGACAGCGACACTTCTCGGAGCGGGAGGCCAGCGATGTGCTGTGCATCATCACCAGGACCATGGATTACCTCCACTCACAGGGGGTGAGCCCGCCGTCCTCCCCGGGAAGGGGCCGCGTCAGAGCAGGAACCGCGGATGGGGGGGGGGGTTGGGACTCGGCTTCCTTCTGCCTCACACCTGCCCCCGCGGGGGCCAAGGTCGAGGCACATGCCGCGTCCCGGGGAGCCAGCCGGAGACATTACGTTTACCTGGACCGGTTACACAGAAAAACGTAGGTGGGCTTGGTAAAGGGGAATTTTGGAGTTTCCATCACCTGCTCTCAGAACTGAATTCCTGCACCAACACAAAGGAATTCCGCGGGTGAAACGACAGTAAGGGCTAGGTTTCCCGCCGCCTCCCCGTCCTCCACACGCTGCTCTGCGCCCTCCACGTCTGCAGTCCCGGACAGACCGGGAGGCCAGAGCACAGGAAGGTGAAGTATCTTGCCTGGGGCTGGTCGCACAGAGGGGGTGACAGGGACAGGGTCCCGCCCGGCTCTGGGCTTCCAGACCCCGCGCTCGCAGCCCCAGGCTGCCTGGCTGGGGGTGGCCGCGTGGCCCCACGCCTTGCTCCAGCCACCGTCCTCTCGGCCCTTCCCGCGAGGCGGACGGTGCTCCCCCGGCCAGCCCCACACGGGTGGTCGTAAGCGTTTAAAATGCAGCCGCCTCCGAACAGGACGATGCCCTTCTGGGACCACACGGCAGGCCTGTTCGGTGGTCACCCGGAGGTCCGGGAGTAGGGAGCATTTTCCCAGAACCCCAGAGGAGACCCTTTGGATGATGGTTTTTCCAGACTGGCGTCTCTTGAATGAGGGGGGTGATGGACCCAGAGTCTCCTGCTCCCCTGCCCCCAGGGTCTCCGTAAACCCAGCTGGCTGCCCGCCTGTGTCCCTCCAACCTCCCTCCTGTACCCCGTGCCTGGGTTTTAACAGGACAGTGCAGCTTCCAGGCCGTGTTCAGACACACACGTGTGCTCCCAGTCGGCCTCTGTCCCCTTCAGAAAAATCGCCGCGTGCCTCAGGTAGCTGCTTTGCTCTGAGATGTGATGACAACTTTGGCCGACCCTGTCCCTAGTGCTTGGAGCCCCGCGGCTCCCTCGGCACAGGGGTGGCTGTAGGGCTCCTGCCGATCGCCTGGGCCTGTCCGTGGTCACACGTCCCGCGTCTGCCTCGCTCTATGGTGTGCCTAACCCCTCACCGCGCTGGAGCGTGGTGGGCACACGATAAACACGTACCTGTAGAAGTCTTTTCATCCACATCACCTGAACTCACCGTGTGTGATGCTCTCAGCTTAGGTAGCTGCTTATTTACTTACTCGTTGAAATATTCATTCGCCACCAAAGAGGTTTCTAGTGGGCCCCCCGGTCTGAGCGTCAACGCGAGAGGAAGAGAGGAGGGAACACCCCCCCCGCCCCCTGCAGGTCAGCCCCAGTCTAAACCCCGGTCTTCTGAACGCATCGCCCCTTCCCTTTCTTGCCCCGTCCCGGGCCTGCTGCCTTTCCAGGTTGTTCATCGAGACCTGAAGCCGAGTAACATTCTGTACATGGACGAGTCTGGAAACCCTGAGTCCATCCGCATCTGCGACTTTGGGTTCGCCAAGCAGCTTCGAGCTGAGAACGGGCTGTTGATGACACCCTGCTACACGGCAAACTTTGTCGCCCCGGAGGTAAGACCTCCGAGCCCGCGGAGGCGCGCCCTCGCCCACTGCAAAGGGGGATCTTGCTCAAGCACCCTCACCTTACCGTTTTAGTTTCCGATTTGTCACGCTTTTCATGGTGATGTTCTTATGTGAAATCGGACTGTGCGGTAGACCGTGTGGGTCAAACCCGAGTGTTTGCTGGGAGTCGCTGAGATATGATGCGGTCGGACTGTCCTGCCGCCCGGAAGGGCGCTTAAGGGTCCCCTGTGATCAGAAACCTACCTACAGCTGCACAGACGGAGGGGCGGGGGGGGGGGGGAGCTGCGTGTCTGTGGGTCTCCTCTGTGCCAGATGCTGCTCCAGACTGTGGCCCACAGCAGACACCCGGCCGGCCGCTGTGGAATGTCACACGACGCCCGTGGCGACTTGCAGGGGAGGGCTCCTGGCCGGCACCCAGTGGGTCAGATGATCTCAGCAACGGCCTCGGGTACATTTCCACCTTCCCGGGCTCCCGGGGATGGTTTTGTTAGGCTCCGAAGTCACTGATGTGTCCATGAAGACAAACCCAGTTTCTTGCTTTCTAGAAACTTAGCAACAAAACCTGAGAGGCCGGTCGAGCAGGACAGGGCTGGTGGGATGAGGGGTCAAGAAGGAGAACAGGTGCTATATCTGGATTCTGTGTGGATCCTTCTGGCTGCCGGTGGAGGCAGGCTGGCACCTAGTGGTGGGTCTGCGAGCTGAGAGGTAGCCCCCCCTCCCCGCCCCAGGGTGGTGAGGAAGGCAGGGTGCTGAGTCGAGATACAGCGTGGGACACAAGGCCATTTGGGGGTCACCCAGATGCTACCTGGGGCCCCTTTGAAATAATCTGCTTATAAGCCTCTATTGCTGCCTTATCTGATCAGAAATAATATTGATGGTATTGATTTTAGCGATTATAGACTATCTTAAATTGGTCTATTGCTTTATCATCTCCAAAGCATTTTCACCGGTATTTTTTACTTCTATCTTGATACACCGTACGAAGTACACAGGGTGAATACTATTAGCCACACTTCATAGATTAAGAAAAAAACCAGGTTCAGTGCGTTCAAGTGACTTTTGAAGGTCGCTCAGCCAGTGGAGACAGGGTTCATTTGCGTGTGCCGGCTGGTTGGCCACCAACCGCGTTCCCGGCACAGCCCACAGTGTCCGCGTTGCAAACACGGGAAGACGGGGTCCTTGCCCTCGTGTCGAAGACAATCGGACACAGTCCTCCGTGTTTGATGCTAAACCCCGTAATGCACAGTAATCCGTGAGCATTTATGCTGCTTTTCTTACTGTTCTCAACTATAAATCTATCAGAGCATCGTCTTCCACGGAAGTATGCAACCCTAGGACGCGTGAATTCTTCTGTTTTGACCGTTCCTCAAAAAACTAGACATAGGCTCACCACGCGGTGCGGTCACGCCCGTGCCCAGCGTTTCTGAAAGCAGAGACAAGAGCAGATATTCGCCCACCGGTGTTCTCAGCAGCCCTGTTCACCAAAGGTGGGAGCCACCCACGTGTCCGTCAGTGGCTGAATGCCTGCACAGAATGTGGCATGTTTTCCAGTGGGTTATGAGCCTTGAACAGGAAGGACACCCCGTGCCACGCCTCAACACGATGAACCTCGAGCACGTTACGTTGTGTGTGATACGCAGGCAAAAGAGCGTAATTACTGCATGATTCCACTTACATGAGGTCCCTAAAGCAGCCAAATCCGCAGAGAAGACCGGAGGAGGAGAAGGAGGGTGGGGGCGAGGGCTGGGGGCGGGGCACAGAGAGCCAGTGTGTGATGGGAGTTGGTTGCAATTTTGCAAGAGAGAAGAGTTCTGGAGGTGGACGCTGGGAACGCTTGAGTAACTGAACCGTACTCCTAAAACTGATTAAGATGGTAAATTCTAGGGGCGCCTGGGGGGCTCCGTCCGCTAAGCGTCCGACTTCAGCTCAGGTCATGATCTCGAGGTTCGTGGGTTCAAGCCCCGTGTCGGGCTCTGTGCTGACAGCCCGGAGCCTGGAGCCTGCTTCGGATTCTGTGTCTCCCTCCCTCTCTGCCCCTCCCTCACTTGCACTCTGTCTCTCTCTGTCTCAAAAGTAAGTAAACATTAAAAAAATGCTTCTTAAAAGACGGTAAGTTTTATGCTATGTACGTTTTGCCATAATGTCTTTAAAGTTCCTTTAAAAAGTCGTTCCTTTTCAGTCTGCGTGTCAGTGGATCTGGCAAGAACTGTGGTTCCTGTGTGTGCCCTGGTCTTTGGGGAGCCCTACTGCCAGGCGCCACAGTTGACTTTGCGTTGATAAACGACAGTTGCCCTGAAGACGTCCCCCGTCCCCCACCTGCCCAGCCCATCATCCCGTCAGAACAGCACGCTGGGAGCTTGAAGTTTCCTCCCCAGTGCTCACCCATCTCCTGCTTTTCCCCTGCAGGTCCTGAAGCGACAAGGCTATGACGCAGCGTGTGACATCTGGAGTCTGGGGACCCTGCTTTACACCATGCTGGCAGGGTAATGCGCGCCTCCCATGGGTGTCAGCACGCGACGGCACGCGCACCCGAGCCATCACGAGGCAGAGGTGTCAGGGGCTGTCCCGTCCGGGCCCAGGGTCAGCCCTGCCCCGTGCTCGGGTGGGGACACACACTCGCAGGTCCTGGGTGAATGCTTTCAGGCTTCCTTAGCCCTTTCGGGACAAATGAAGACCAGGGATAAGAAAGTTAGCTTTATGTTTTCTTTACATTTTTTTTTACTGTTTATTTATTTTTGAGAGAGAGAGAGAGAGAGAGACAGAGCACAGGCAGGGGAGGGGCAGAGAGAGAGGGAGACACAGCACCCGAAGCAGGATCCAGGCTCCGAGCTGTCAGCCCAGAGCCCAACACGGGTCTTGAAACCATGAACCATGAGATCCTGACCTTGAGCCGAAGTCGGCCGCTCAGCCGACTGAGCCACCCGGGCGCCCCTGTTTCCTTTCAGATGTATCTCCAGAATTAGGGAACTGAACACAGAACTCAGCTCATCAGGAAAAATCCCAAGCCTCTGACCACGTGTCCACATTCTCCATTGCACCACACCGCCCCCTTAAAAGGTCACGCACATCGCCCCTTAAGAACATCCCCTTGAGTTAGGAAGCACCCGTAAACATTCCTGGTCAGAGAGCACCTCGAGGAAGGCAGCCAGGTAAAGGCAGGTGACTGATTTGCGTGGCCACCGGGCGACAGGCCTGCCATCACGGAAAGAGGGTCGGGTCTGCCACGCCCCTTCCGATCCGGGGTCTGCCCTCGCCAGCTCTGCTTCTGGGCTGGGCTCCTTCCTCTACTGGCCTCACTCCCCTCACTTTTAAATGAAAAGGAAGGCACTGTGTGACACGTTAGGACTCCAGCCTTAAAGGTCTAGGACCCTACGAATCCAGAGTGGGATCGCTCTGTGATCTTCTGATACTCGCGTTGTGTGTATGTAAATCTCAGACCGCAAACTTTGCCACTAAGACCAAGTGTCATGAGATTCACGCAGAATTCCTTTTCCAGGAAGGCATTTCTTGTCATGCCCCGGTCTATGGTGGGAGGTGATACGATAACACAACGCGGCAAGTGCCGACGCATTGTGTAGTGTCTCTGTAGGTCCCCGCGATGTATTATCCTGCCTATTTGCAATTGAGTCTTAAGAAATTGGGGCGCCTGGGGGACTCAGTCAGTTGGGCGTCCGACTTCGGCTCAGGTCATGATCTCGCCATCCGTGAGTTCGAGCCCCGCGTGGGGCTCTGTGCTGACAGCTCGGAGCCTGGAGCCTGCTTCGGACTCTGTGTGTGTGTCTCTCTCTCTGCCTGTATCCCACTCACGCTCAGTCTCTCTCTCAAAAATAAATAAACATTAAAATTCTTAAGAAAAAAAAAAGATTCTCTCTCCCTCACTCTTCCTCTCCTCTCTCTCTCTCTCTCTCTCTCTCTCTCTTTCAAAAAACAATTTGTTTGAGAACTGGAATTGGTAATAGACCAATCATGGGTCTCAGACTTCAAATCTCAGGCTCTCTGCCACGGTCTCAACGAGTGACCAGACAAACCACCCTAACAGTGTCCCCAGGGGTCCAGAAACGGTCCAGGGAGCTCGTGCTGGGATCCACAGAGTTTTCTGCACTTGCCTTATTGACCTACAGCATTGGCCAAGTATGGAAGAGGGACGTAGCATTAAGAAATAAGTAACGCGGGGCGCCTGGGTGGCTCAGTCGGTTAAGCGTCCGACTAAGGCTCAGGTCATGATCTCACGGTCTGTGAGTTCGAGCCCCGCGTTGGGCTCTGTGCTGGCAGCTCAGAGCGTGGAGCCTGTTTCAGATTCTTTGTCTCCCTCTCTCTCTGACCCTCCCCCATTTATGCTCTCTCTCTGTCTCAAAAATAAATAAACATAAAAAAAAATTAAAAAAAAAAGAAGAAATAAGTAACGCTTTCCCCTGATTCTGGATTTGGAGCACGGCGGCAAAGAAAGAGCTATTCTCAACAAGGCAGGGGCAACATCTAGCTGTGAACTTCACCGTAGGTCGTACAGCAGAGGTTCATTTTACCTGAATTCTCTCATTGCACAGATTTACCCCTTTTGCAAACGGCCCCGATGACACTCCCGAGGAGATTTTGGCGAGGATCGGCAGTGGGAAATACGCCCTTTCTGGGGGGAACTGGGACTCCGTCTCTGATGCGGCAAAGGTGAGTGCTTCCCAGCGCTCTCTCTGCTTAGGGTGGGGACTCTAGTGACCGCTCCGTTTGCGAGGAAGCTAGGGGAGACCCTTCATAGAAATAACACATGTGTTTTATCTCGTAGATTTTTTTTTTAGCTTCTCAGTTGAAAAATTCTTTTTCGCAAAGCTTCTCACGTGTCCCACAGTCTTGGTGCCCTGGGGTTCTCCAGAGAAATAGAATCCATTGGATTCCATGTGGCCAGGCAGATACAGATTCTATGGAATTCATTGGATTCCATGTGGAGAGGCAGATACGGAGATAGAGAGAGAGATTTATTCTTAAGATCAGTTCATGTGACTGTGGAAGTGACATGTGATAAGTCTCCAGTCTACAGAGTCAGCAGACTGCAGACTCCGGGAAGAGCTGGTCTCGTAGCTCTAGGGCAAAGCCCCTCTGCTGGCTGACTTCCCTTTTCCTAGGGGAACCTCTGTCTTTTTAATCTTCAGGGTTTCCCCTGATTGGATGAGGCCCACCAACACCATGAAGGGTCATTACTACGAGCTGACAGATTTCAGTGTCAATCTCGTCTAAGTAAGACTTTCACAGCATCATCTAGACTGGGGTTCGGCCAAACACCGGGAACCGTGGCTTAGACAAGTTGACCCATAAAATTAACCCTCACGCTTCTGGTGATGTCGTGAAATGGCGGCCCTGAATGATCACAGACTGATCAAGGACAACTCTGGGACAGAGATGTGTTTCTGTTGTTTTCAAACACTTCGCACTGGGGCTTCTCGGTAGCCTCGCCATTTTGGACCAGCCTTGTTTAAGGAAACGTCAGACTTCGTCTTTTTCAGTTGAGATCATCAACTCCTCTCTAATTAAATAGTAAATGATCACCTGACCACTAGTAAGAAGGAGTATCGACTTTCCGTTTCCTGTGTTCCTGTGAAATGGGTAGACGATCTGGGGTTCTGATTTCAGTGCTGCCATCATCGTCACTGTGTGACCTCGTACGGAGATGGCAGAGGGGATGGCGGAGATGGTGGAAAGATGATGGCGATGGTGATGGGGGTGATGATGGAGAAGGTGATGGAGTAGATGGCAGAGGGAATGGGGAAGATGGTGAAGTCGGCAGAAGAGATGATTGTGGAAGTGCTGACAGGTCATGGCGGAGGTGATGACAGGGGTCATGGTGGAGGTGATGGCAGAGGTCATGGTGGAGGTGATGACAGAGGTCGTGGCAGAGGTCATGGCAGAGGTGACGACAGAGGTCATGGTGGAGGTGATGACAGGGGTCATGGTGGAGGTGACGACAGAGATCATTGTGGAGGTGATGGAGGTGATGACAGAGGTCGCGGCAGACGTCATGGCAGAGATGATGACAGAGGTCATGGTGGAGGTGACGACAGAGGTCATGGCGGAGGTGATGACAGAGGTCATGGTGGAGGTGACGACAGAGGTCATGGTGGAGGTGA